CTATATAAGCAAGAGCAAAGCTGTGACCAGACCATTTCAAGTAGGAAAACCCAGTGAACTAGAATTATGAATATGTTTCTGCAACTAAAGAGGTAAATACAAAAGCAATATGTTTGAAATTGTTCTACACCAAAACTAGAGAAGCACATTGTTATCAATTAAGTAAGAATATCCTGTTGTGTCAACAACAGTTTAAAATGGTGTTTGCAGCATTTTAGTATAAACTTGAAGAAGTTTTCATCTTGCATAATTTAGGGGCTTGATGAATCCCATGTTCCTGTTTTTCTAGGTTTGTCAGCTGGATCCATCCAGAAATATGATCAAAAGGCATATGACTGAAGTTTAGAAATCATGGAAGCAATAGATAAGCTGAATGTTGAACTGTTAACGAAATACTGCAATGCAAGAACTAGAGAACACTTGAAGCACTTAGTAAGAAATCAATATAAAACAGACAAAATGGGCAGTGAGATTCTGGAATTTGCTACCCCAGGAGGCTGCAGAGGCAGACAGTATCAGGAAGACTAAAAAGACAAATTTATGGGTATCAGGACAATAAGTAGGTGCTAAAAATGCATTCTAATAACCCTAGTATAACAGTTCCAGATGCTGGCACAATACAAAGGGAATGATTTCAGAAAGTAGCCCTCCGAAAAATATCTCTTACTGCCACTCTGAACACAGGGTGAGGTGAGCTGTTGGTCTGGCATTAGACCTTTTTTTAATGTCCTTGTGTTCTCCGCCCTGTTCTTTCTTTCCTAGATTCTGTGTCCCATGGTAAGTAAACTGAGTATCTTCTCTTGGTATTCAGGTGTACCTATCACATTGTACTCAGGAGACAAGATCACCTTTGTTGGCCATATTTCACACACATCATTTTTTCCCACTAGTGGTTTATCATTGTCATCAACTTTAAATTAGTCATAATTTTCTTCAGGGTTTTGTGTGAGACCAGCCTTTTACTGACTATCTGCTTTCATTTCCTTGTATTTCTTCAGTTCTTTCTACATGTTTATTAAGTCCTTTCTTACCTATTCATTCACCTCCATTACAAGTGTACTTTCAAGGCTTCTCACTGGTGTCCCTCTAGATGTCTGTGAACTGGCAGTTGGTGCAGCTTCACAGACTTGGGGAGAAGAGCAGTAGGCTATACCGGTCCAGGGAGGTACGAGCATTTCTGATTAGGTACAGCAGACTGTGCCACGTTCCTTGCTCTAGGGCCAGTGCCAACCTCACTGGACCAATGCTTATACTCATATTAATGTTCTGTGGCGTGCAATGTTTCTCCCTCCATTCAAATTTTCATCTAATCCCGGCTTGATCAAATGAGATCTGCAGCAGCTAAGTCATATTAGAAAAAATTAGGCCATCAATCCATTATTAAGCTGGAAAGTATTTCATATTCTGTGTCTGCCCTCAGGGTGTCTCAGAACATTCCACGGCTGATCTGTCCTGAGTATGAGAGGGCTGGGGTTTAGGTGCTAAAAGATGCGTACAGATACTGAGGGAGTTGTGGTTTTTTTTAAAGCATTTGGTTTCCAGCCTTGCAGTTAGCTAGAGCCAAGGTGTAGGTGTTTGAGACTGCGATCTTTATGGTTCTGTTGGTCAAGGTGCTTTTGAAAAAATTATCCTGGTCTCTTCTATGCATGTAGCCACTACATCTAAGAGGTAGCACCAGTTCTGTAGCATTGGGAAATTTTCCTGAGATGTAGGTAAAGTTCCTTTACTTGTGTCCTAGCAAAGGTCAGTGTACACTCTTAGAAAATGTTCCATTTGTTACATGTTCTGCTCTTGATAATATATTCTATCCAGCACTCTCTGAAAATTAAAAATCTATCCCCAATTTTTACTGTATAGCTCTCTCTCTGTTTTAACCATGATTCTTGCCAAAATGACCATCTTTTGTATATGCTTATTAATTTCCTTCATTAATCTTCTCTTTTTCAAAGAAAATAGATCTTTATCTTTCATAGAATCACAGAACAGCTGATGTTGGTAGGCACCTCTGGTGATCATCTAGTCCAGCCCCTTACTCAAAGCAGGGGCAACTACAGCAAATTGCTCAGGACCTTGTTAGTCAGGTTTTGAATGCTTCCAAAGACAGAGACTCCACAACCTCTCCAGACAGCTGGTTTCAATGTTCAATAAACCTTACAGAGGTCTTAGCACCAAATGATAACTCTTTCAGATATGTACAGCACAGGAAGCAAGACAGTGAAGCATCCAAAATCATTGTCAAGACCTTGGCCTTAGTAACTAAGTGGCTTTGGAGACTGATTTAGGCATTAGTGATATCTTTTCAAAGGCATGACTTAGTACCAGAATAAAAAATTACTCCAGTTCTGACTTGGATGTTGTTATTCTGAGTGTTGAGGGGGAAGAAAGTATGGGGAAGACTGAATTTTCTTAGTTCAGGTCACTTACTGCATTCTTGAAATGCCACATTTGGATGTTTGCCTTCCCGCCTCATCACTGCCTCAACATGTCACGTTGGATTTGGTGCAAGAAAGAGTTAATTAAAGGCAACTTGTGCAAGCTGCTGCAGATAGTATGCGTCAAAGCATTTTTTCCAATGGCATTGTGCTTTGAGCCTAAGCTGCAGAGGAACTTGCATGCCAGGAATTGAAAAGAGACCCCTCTGTTTTGTGCACACTCAACTTCCAAAGGCAGTGTCTGGGGTAGAAAACCGATTTGAATATGAAATAAAGAGTTGCCCAGAGGAATCAAAGAGTAATGACTACATCCATGGCCAAAAAGAGGCGGAGGGCACTGGATGAGAGGCATGGCCTCTGTCTGTCCTTTCATATTACTGTTGCTGACTCCTTGCCCTAAGATGACATGCATGTTGGCACTCTCTAAACTGATGATTTGTTTATTTTTTGTTTGCTTTCAGTTGCTAGATTGACATTACAGACCATACTCTTGGACTGCTGTACTTCCTTTATAAATTGCTTTAAGATGTTTTAGTGTGATAAGACGATATAAAAATTGAAGTCATTATTACTATCTGTATCACCAGGGGAATTGGACAGCTGACATTGATCTGTAAGAGACTGATTTCCATATTTTGTTATTACATTAACCCATAGAATTCTTCTTGTTTATGATTTCAAAGAAAGTTTTCCTAACCAAAAAGTCATCCTCTGTAGTGTATAGTGCTTGAGAGACGTGGAAGGGCAGAAAATATGTGAACCCTGTCATTTTTTATCTGATCAATAACATCTTGCTTTGTTAATGGTAATATCCCAGTATTTTACATTGCATTGTATCAAGATCCCACTAACCACTTCACAGAACCACTTGTGAGTGAAATCTAGCAGTTAGTGAGGGGTATACCACTAACTGCTTGGTTTGGGGCAAATATTATGCACCCCTTTAAATTCTTGGCATTTATCTTAAATTTTTTAATTAAAATAATCATAAAAAGTCTGTACTCCTTGCTGTTTTGTAAGGAAAGAGATTGAATAAGGGCCTTATCTTCCTGCGTTGAGTAACACTTTATGATGAGCTAAATTGTACCATTCATCCAAAAGCCAGAGTAATGGTAGCACAGAGGCTGCTGTGTTGCAGAGGGAGTAACTTGCTCTTTGCTATCTTCTTTTGGTTTCAGAATAAAGCCTGAGAAATCAAAGAAGGGATTTTTAATAATTAAAAAGTGCTTACAGTCATGTCGTGATTTAACCCCAGCTGGCAAATAAGGACCACACAGCTGCTCACTTACTCCCCCCTGGTAGGATGGGGGAGAGAATAGGAAGAGTAAAAGTGAGAAAAACTGTGGGCTGAGATAAAGACGGTTTAATAGGTAAAGCAAAAGCCATGCATGCAAGCAAAGCAAACCAAGGAATTCATTCACTACTTCCCATCGGCCGGCAGGTGTTCAGCCATCTCCAGGAAAGCAGGGCTCCATCACACGTAACGGTTACTTGGGAAGACAAACGCCATCACTGCGAACGTCCCCCCTTCCTTCTTCTTCCCCCAGCGTTTGTTGCTGAGCATGACGTCCTATGGTCTGGAATGTCCCTGTGGTCAGTTGGGGTCAGCTGTCCTGGCTGTGTCCCCTCCCAGCTTCTTGTGCCCCTCCAGCCTTCTCACTGGCTGGGCATGAGAAGCTGAAAAATCCTTGACTTAGTCTAAACACTACTTAGCAACAAACTGAAAACATCCATGTGTTATCAACATTCTTCTCATACTGAACCGAAACCGTAACACTGTACCAGCTACTAGGAAGAAAATTAACTCTATGTCTCAGCTGAAACCACAGACTGGGAGTGATTGCCTGCAAAGACCATAGGCTCCTTGTAGTTGGGCAAATGTCTTTTTATAGTTGGGCAAACATCTTTTTCAGGAATGATTTAGATATAACTGATAGTGTGAAGGGAAATGTCTGGCTCTTTTTTCTGTTTTGATGTGATAGGTTACTGTTGAGAGGGATTTGGAAGGCTGGACCACAAAGTACAGGGGCCTCCTGAGAAGTGGTGCTGTTACACTATAGGCATATCTATACACTATAGACATAGCTATTCTATGATTCTATATCTGAAATGCAACAATATTCATCCTCAGTATATCTTAAATTGATTGAATTGGTAAAATTCACTTTCACTGGTTGTTTCTTGACAGTAATATAGTTGCTTGAAAATAGGTGAGGGTCTATTTAGGCACCTGGACCAATTGTAGACTTACAGGGGATATCCCACCTGTGGGAGACCTGCTGGCACTTAAGAACAGCAATTGGTTGTCTAAAATGGCACAAGATACCTATTTTAGGTGCCTAAATGTCTCACAAAGCCCCAAAACAATACAGAAAATCAAAAGAAAAGAGAGGAGTGGAACATTGATCTCTGACAGTAAGGAAGTACCTAACTGATGAAACAATAACCTCTCAGACTGAGGTATTTCAGGGCTGAGAATTTTTTCTGCAGCAAATTATCCTGTCAGAGTGAGAATATTGCATTAATGGAAATCCTTGGGTGATTTTTCTTCTTGCCGTTTGCATCCAGGCCGTGCTTTGCTGAGGCTTACTGACAAAAAGCTTGAACGAATGGGCATTGCCCAGGAAAGCCTGCGACAGCACATTCTGCAGCAAGTCCTTCAGCTGAAGGTGAGAGAAGAAGTCCGAAACCTCCAGCTACTTACACAAGGTATGAAAAATAATTTTGATATGGACAGTTATTGAGATCAGGTGGGAGAAGTTTGCCTGAGGGCATAAAAGGTGACTTGACATTCTCCCACAAGAAATGGTGCATGAAAATGTCTCATAGATTCCACATGCTTTCCAAGGTGGGAACAAAAGGTAAAATAATGCATAAATAAATAGAGATGTTCAGCTGCATGATGAATAGGCTCCATCTACAGCTTGATGGTAGTCTTACTTAACTGTCTGCTTACTAAGATGAAAATAATTACATATAAAGGGCACAAGTAGTGAACATGCTGTCTTTACAGACATTGTACATTTTGCATTAATTGTTTACTTTCAGTGTTAGATAAAAGAGTAATCTCTGTAACCTGTTTTATGGTAAGAGCTGTCAGTGGAAAATTACCTGTTAGACTCTGTTATTTGCAGATGGCTGATTCCTTTTATATGTTGGAGTAATTTCATTGACTTGAATAGAGTTGCTTCTAATTTATGCTGCTAAGAAAATGCAAAACTGGGCTCAATATGGAGATCTTGGTTAGAAGGCAGGGAAGAAGGAGTAACAAAAGAGCTCGTACATATTTCCAGATGAGGTTAAGATGGTTTATGATGACTTGTGTTATTAGCTCTCTATTAAGATTTTTTAACAGCTGTGGTAACATGGAAGAAAAGCAATCATTGTGGCAATAGTGTAAAGGAACATTTAGAGATTCTTTACTATGTATCTGCAATACTTTCTCGATGTTAAATGTTGTTTGGTAGTCCAGTGAGATAGCATAAGCCACATACTTCTGTGGTGTTTTGGTTCAGTGCCTGTTATATGTCACACCATATGAAAAAAATAGTTCTTTGGTACACGCAGTGTATTTTTAACAAAATGTCCTTCACACATGACATTATGTTCCTGATTAAGCCTTGCTCACTGTGTTTGGGAAAAAACTCTCTGGTTAGTTGAGTAAGCTGCATTTTATCTGAAGGAGCTGATGTCTCAACTGAATTGTTCCTTCAGGCTTTGTGTCATGTGGATTGTGATGAGGAGCTTTAGGGCTTCTTCATTTTGCCATGATCTGTGAATATAAGCTCACCTTACCTTGTGTCATGTCAAAGGCAGTGCAGATGCTGAAGCATCAGTGTCTTCCCCAGATGTTCAGAACTGTTCCTTTTCCCTTCATCCCTTCATCCTTTCCTCCGTTATTCCTACATCCTTTTCTTCAGTGTTGGCTGGGTTCTCTCTTCCCCTACATGTGGAGTGTTACTTGAGAGTTTGCCAGACTGCAAAGTTCTGGTCATCAACCATCACTGGTTTAGGCCTATTGACAGAAATTGGGATTTTACTGATATGAGACCCACTAGCTATAAATTTGGGTCAGTTGATCACTGCCGTCCAGCTACATTTCTCCATAAACCTGTATTTGGCATTGAAAGCTATGTGTTTCCGGGCTTCTCCTTTATTGTTTCTCTCTGCTTCCTCTCTGGACACATCAGCTGGTTTGTAAGTCATGATCAGTCAGACAGTGGCGACTGCCATTTCAAGGAATTCAGGGAAGCAGCCTTTGAGATTTATTCCTTGCCCATGCAGTTGAGGATACAATTTTTGGACTTTTGATAAGAGGGTGAATAAACACATGCTGGATGATGAAGGCCAGGCTGGTGATAGATGCATGGATGTGTGTTTAATGTAGTCTCTCTCTGCCATGTAGAGAGAACATTGTTATTTAGTCTGATAAAACATTCCCCTATGCAGCAGAGCTGTGTTAATTGTATGATCCCAGAGCAGGGGGACAGTGAGTGATAGAATGACAGCGGTATTCCTACCCCTTATCGCCTCATTTACACCAAGGTGGAGTGTGTGTCTGTTGAAAGTGCTTGTTTGCAAGTACTGAGGTTAAGATACAATTTCTCAACTACAGTGCAGTCTGTAAAGCTGTATGTATGTCAGTTGTTCTCCGAAACGGGTCCTGTCTTCTTGCCCAGTTTCTTCAAACTGTGTCTGCTCATATTCTTATTATGGCTTATACGTTTCTAATCCAGGTTGTTTGTTACTGGAATCGCTTTCTGTAAGTGCTTTTCTGTTTTGGAGAACATTTGGAGAACATTTTTTCTCTGAAAAGTAACACATTTGCTTTCAGTTTCTGTCTTTTGGAAATTCCACTTGCAAAATGCAGGTCACAGCGTAGCTTTTGCTATTGCTACACTGTGCTTTGCTGTCCTCCAAAAAGAGGGGGAAAAAAGCCCTCTTCTGTCTGTCAGTGCACAGCTCAGGAGATCATTAGGGGAAAGAAGCCATTAAAACCCCTTTCTGAATTAATTTAGCACACAAGCTGGGTTGCAAGCAATGAGGTCCTAATTCAGAGCCCATTGACGTCAGCAAAAAGACTTCCCCTGACTTTAGTTCATACCCCAACTGAAGGTGGAGCGAATGGGGAAAGATTTTAAAAAAAATTATGCAATACTTAACAGATATTTTAAGTGGTTTTGTGTTCTGTTGTCTACAGATAAAGTTAACCTCATTTTAAAAACTCAGTAGAGAGCTAGCATTCTTTTCTACTCCTGTTTCAGAAAATGACTTAAAACTGTTTCATTCTTCTTCGTTCAGGACACACCATCCAGTCTGTTCTGGGGATCTTAAAGCCAGAATAGTACGTGGTTGTGTAATTGAAGACTTGTCTTGAGTTTTAGGAAGACTTTTCTTTGGAGTAAGAACTGTCTGATTGAGGCTATTATCAGCAGAAACACTATTCCAACCTCCGCTAGGATAGAAGGGCACAGGCCCAACTACTGATCTGTGCTTTTTTCCAGACTTGGTGATGTTGAGGAACTAATTTGACAAAATATCTTCCAATGTCTCTTGGGGAGAGCTGCACGCTGTTGGAAACATCATTATTGTACTGTTATCACTGTAAGCCTGAGTTGAAAGATCATTTTTAAAAAAAAGTCTCACATAACTACACAGAGAAGTTATTTTGAGATTTTTCAATGTGAGTTCTGCTTTTGGCTACCATAGAAGAGACTGTCCTCAAAGTGGTAGAACAGTGCTATGTGTGATTCTGAGCAAAGTATCCATAGACAGCGATCTGCTAATAAGGCTGCGCTTCAGAAGCATTTTTGGATTTAGACTAAATGATACCTGCATTTAAGATGATGTTGGGCCCTCTCCTAAGCTACTCTCTGAGTTTCATACAGGGCACAGTGCTACTTGAATACATTGTCAGACCACAGAGTGTGACAAATTTTCTTCAAAAAAAGTATTTCTCCTGCTAGCAAAATGTGTTAGAATAAAGCCTTATGCTTCGTTGAAAATCATCACAGCTGTTGGTACCTGTTGAAATTATTTCTTCAGTAAGTTTTCTACTCATCCTGCAGTGGTGCTTAGCTACTGAAAAACATACATGCTCAATGATAACCACAATAAAACCGTTTTTTTTCCCTCCTTCAATTTTGAAAATAGTCCCATTCAAAACCTGTTATAGTACCCTAGCACTGTATTCTTCCAGGAGGGGAACTAGAGGGCCTTCAAAGGTGCATCTCATCTTCTAAGGAAACATGAAGTAAGAGCCATGTATTCTAGTGATGGATCGTTCACTGGCTTTTAGAGGAACCTTGTAACAGAAACATTGCCTTCAGGGTCCATGTGGTGAGTAAACCAGGACCATGAAACTGTCCCTAGCTGAAATGTGTTATAAGGATTTTTATAGCATTATCAGCCTCTTGATACTAGAGTAAAGGCAGGCTTGATCAGAAATTGAGCTGTTTGGCACTGAACCCTCCCGGGCTGTCAGAAACATGGTGCTACTTCCTGTTCACCTTATCTACTTCTTCCCTGTGAATGTTGAAGGTGGGAGGAACCATTCCAGCTTGCATCACTGCATGTGAGGAGATTTGTTGTCATTTTCCATAATCAAAGCCTTGAAGTACTAGACTCACTCCCATCTTCTGAATTCCTGCATATGAAGACCTTCGCTGCTGTGGTGGCTCCAGTACACAGCATGAACGATTGGGACTTACACACCTGCCTAAAAAGGGACTTGAGTGGTCAGAAAATTTGAGAACATGGGACCTTGCAAAGCGCAGAACTGGAAGGTCATTTGGAGTTAAGATTATTGCAGCTTGCTGTCCCCCTGCTGTGTAGGCTTTATGGATACTGAGGTATCTGAACTGCTGTTGCCTACTGTCCTTCATGTCCCTTGAAGAATTGTTGCTTGAGAACAGCACATTTCTTTGTCATCCCTGTAAAGAAGTCAGAACAACTGAGGTTTGTGATAGAGGGTCATCCTGTTACACTTCCAGGATGTACTATTTTCTTTCCTGGGTACATTCTGGACTCAAGGTTTTGGCACCCGAGGAATCATGAGTTCCTTCCGCCAGAAATACTTTCTTGTATGTTAAAAACAGCAGATGTTGCCTCTGCGAGCACTCCAGGTAGGCAGTGTGTTCGCCTTCCCAGGCAGCTGGCAGGGGAAGTGCGTAACAGTTGGGGAATCTCAGTTTCATGTCCCTGTGGTGGCGTTCAGAGGCGTGCGGCTTTTGAAATGTTGACTGTCCTCTTACCAGGCACCCGTTCTTTTGTTTTCATTGTCTTGACCTCACCTTTTTCTTTTCCCTAACCCTGAAGCTTCTAGCTAGTCAGGAAGGGCCTTTCTTCTTATAGCACAAATTACTATGCAAATGTTTCTTGCATATGCTACATACATGGCATCTATCCAAGGCACAGAAAAAAGCAGTTGATACTTCAGAAGAGCTTCAGCAAACTTAATTCCCTGCTGATTTCCTTTGCTCTGTGCTCCTGTTATGCTCTAAAATCTCTGAGAGACCTTGTAAGTTGAACACAAAGTATGGCATGGAAACACTGTCAGAAATTACCTAAAAGTAGTGGTTTATCCCTTTTCATAGCATCAGAACTGTGTTCCAGGACTCAACATGCTAAATTGCCTGATTATAGGTAAAGAAATCTTTACCTTCATCTCTATGTGGGTTTATTTTCACTGTATGTCCATATCTCTTTTA